GGAAAAACCCATCTCACATTAGGTTGAGATGTGGGAGGGGGCTTAGACTAGAAGATTGGATTTTGAGGCTATCTCAAACCATGACACTAGCCTGAGACAGAATTTTCTATAATTGATTTTGTGTTTCTTAAGTGAAAATACAGTTTCAAAGTAACATTTACTTCTGCCTGCGTATAAGACCCAAACACAATATATATACCTTTCAGAGCTTCATCAGATAATTTCTAATACTCAAAAAAGTCAGTCCGTCTGAGGGATGCAAGTGCATCCCTAATTTAAATTTATTCTTCTCCATCTCCTCTTCTATCTGCTTGTTGCCATGGTCATGGCTGGGCTTCGCAAACAAAGATTTAGGAAGGCTCTATCCACGTTTGTTACAGGCACGCTGGTGACTTACGAGGCCAATACAAGATAGACATATCCGATTGCAAAAGGCACAGCAGAAAGACTCCTTAGGTGGTGTATTCAGCAGGATACGATTCTTTCTGTGTTGTCTTTTCTCCTCGAGAGTGATCCTGCGTGCTTTCTCAAAGGAAACGGCAGCGTTGAAGTTGATGTGTCTCCAGGCCTCCCGGTTTGAGGCCAGAGTAGACCAGTTATGGTGATCAATGTGGCCGAGGTTGAGATGTTGTTTCAGGGAGTCCTTGCATCTTTTCTTCGGGGCTCCTCTCTTGCAGCAGCCGGAGGCAAGTTCACCATAAAGCAAGATCTTAGGGAGGCGGTGGTCCTTCATCCTTGAGACGTGCCCTGCCCAGCGCAGCTGAATTCTCAGCAACATGGCCTCAATGCTAGTGACTGCTGCTTGTTCTAGAACAGAGGGCTTGTTGCCATGAGCAACACACTATATGCACAGTAAACTGGATATGTCTAGCACTCAGAAAGGGCACTCAGAACTGGGCTGATAGAGACACAGGGTTGAGTTAGGTGGGTCTGATTATTGCATTTCCAGTAGTCTATGAAACTATTTGTCAGTGTAAGGAATGTCAGATAAATTAGGCATTGTTTACATGGCAGGAGTGCCAGCTAGAATAACGTCTCATAAACTCCCACTGACGTGAGTTGAAGGTACATATATATTTGCAGAGCAACACTTGGAGTTTATTTGCTGCTGTATATTACTTCACATTTCTGCAGCCTGAATACACCTGCTCTTTTACTGTCTACTCCCTCAGTGCTACAGTTCATGCAAGGACTCTCCAAAGACTACACATATAATGAAAATCAAAGCAGGTGCTTATCAGTCAGGGACATAATCTGGATAAAACTCTTGCTTTTGGCATGCCTGACCATTATTGTGGAAGATATCTACTGCGAAGAGGGGAAGTTTCGAATGTGGAAACAGCAATTACAGGATAACCTGACTGAGGCTGCAGAGGAAGAAAACATGTTGTGAACTGATCCGATACAACATTACTGACACAGAGACTGTTTGACTAGAAGAAGTTAATAATTGTTGTTAATATATGTTCAAATCTGTTGTACCCCCATGTTTTTATTGAATTCCATAATGTTCTCTCCCTCATGTTTATTCCTTATTTTCCTATTGGTTAAAATCTGCGGCAGTGCAGAGTCCCCATGTTATGTAACTCCTCTCCTGGGTCTCCCTAATTGGATGTAACTCCTGTCAGTCCCATGCTCCTCCCTTTTTTCCAGAACCTTCTCCACTCCCCCTATAAATAGGGGAACCATTTTGAATGAACAGACCTTCAACTCTGTTTGAGCCTGAAGGTTGTTGTGTCCTTTGCTCACAAACTGCAACAATTATATTGCCTTCACTGGTGTAAGGACTCCTCTTATCATCATCATAATCTTTTACTTTCAAGTTGTTAAGACATTATCATCATGAGAGGATCCAAAGTTTACCAGACGCAGCCTGTGTCAAACTCTTTCCCTTTTGACACGCAAATTGTCACAAAACAGAGGGGTAAGGCAGGAGGCTGCTTTAGAGCTTGATGCAGGAGAAAGTGAGAAACAGAGAGGTAATGCCATTTACCCCCTACTTGTTCGCAGGCTCATGGCACAACCCAAGTCTCTGAGAGCACTGTGTGCTGCATTGCATTGTATTATAGAGCACGTAGAGGTAAAAGAAAAATTGTAGTCAATGTGAATCTTCAGATAAATAAAATAGGCACATTTTGAATTGGGGGGCGGTAGTCACATTCTCATCTCTAGGCACCTAAACTTAAAGTGTTCCAATTGGAAACTTGCTCCTCCTAGGCTTCCTTCAGTGGAGAAACAGATTCATGGTGGCAAACCAGAGCTGGAGCCTAAATTAGGTACTACACTTTCTCTGAAGGAACGTATATTTCTATTTTGAGTACAAGAAGTTTAGACAACTTACCTTCCTTTCTTATGCATCTGCATTAGATATGTAGAATAATGTAAATGCCTTACTTATCATCACAAATTTTCTTTGTACTGAGCTGCAACTGTACAGATGTATGTTACTGAATGTACCTCAGCTAAAAAATGCAGGAGGAAATCTTTAAAGTCATAGGGCCTCAGGGCAGGAACCCACACTTCACTGAGCAGTCCCAGAGTCAACACTCACATTGTTAATATGTTGTGGGAATTTGCCCCTACTTCCTACTAAATCCAATGCAGAAGTAATTTTCCAATCACTTACAAAATTAGGGAAACCATTTTCTCCAGCAGTATGCAGGGTACACACTGTAATTCTCAATTGTAGCCAAGTCTTTTTCAAATTGAATTAATAATTATGTAGTTCTGTTCAACCATATCCAACCTCACCAATTAATTTTTCTCTGTGGGCTAGTGGCTATGACAGCCATTTGTGTTTTTCATTTGCAGCAAACTCATGGCTCTAGATATCAAGCTGCTGTGGAACTGCACATCTGGAGGTGCAGTATCTTGTGAAAAAATACAGTAGTATCCATGTCACCAGGGAATATCTTAGTACTACAACAATACAGAGGTAATACAATAGAGGTATAAAATAAAAATATGTGTACTGATGTGTTGTGTGTTAGCAAATGGAAAGCGAAGTTCAATCCAAATTCCCTTTTTCATTTGCTCAGACCCTTTGGGTTTAATTTTGCCTCTCTCAGTGATGTGACTCCTGACATGGGACCACCTCATATGGGGAGGGTGTGATGGTTACACCATGTGCTGTGCTGAGGCACTTTCTGTCGAGAAACGTCAAAAGATAAAGCTCAGTGAGGAGGAGTGCCCATATTGGCAGTAAGTCACCAGAAACAGTGTGCATGCCTGAGGAGCAAGGACACAGAGGGAACTTGTTTCATGCCTGAGAAAGGCATGAAACAAAGGGTGGTGTAGAGGTGTTGGAGTCATGCTCTGTTTAAAACAATGCAGCTAATGAAAGCTAAACCAAAGGAATTACCTAAATGGTGACCAAAAGCTGAATTACACATCATGACCTTCAAAATGCATATTACTTTTCATTCCCTACATATGCTAATGATGTAAAACCTGTACATGCTTTACATGTATGATTAAAGTCACTCAAACTCCACCTAATCATGAAAGTACATCAACTGAAACTTTTTTTTCACCACCCTCAAAGAAAACAATACAAATATGACTTAAGAGGGGAGGGAGGTCAGAGGAGACTCTACCTGTGTATCCTGTGTTGGTCAACAGGCAGTACCCTCTACTCCCCCTTAGGGACACCTGTCAGGTAAGTTTTCCATGGTAATACTATTGTAGGTACTTTCTGATACCAGTGCATTTAGCAACAGCAATTTGTGGACCTTATTCTGTCACAACAAAATCAATAAACTGCACAATTTGTGAATCTGGAGTCTTATTGAATTCACCCAGACTTACAGTGCAACTTATGCCATTTGTGCATCTGGGATTGCGATTGTGACCACACTGTGCCTCTGCTACCTTACCAGACTTACAGTGCCAAATTGGTTACTCTAAAATATTATCTGTGAAGGTCTCATGGGGACTTGGACAGCAGACAATGCAGAAAGCAAGGGGGTCTCCCTTCCCTAAATTTTTATGTGACAGAAAAATTGGTGTAGTCAGCAAGACTGCCATGGATAAAGAGTTACAAAAGTATAAATGTGCTCCTTCCCAGGCAGACAAGGAATGGGCCTGAAAATTCTAGAAAGACAAAGCAATTATTTGTGCAATACTGGGGACTCACTTATCACACAAAAAGAAATGAAAGAGTCCTTTCCTTCCCAAAAATGTCCTATACAGAATATGCTGCTTCAAAATCAGAAAATGAAATATTAAAGTCATCATCGGCCTTTGAGAGGGAAATAAAAGAAATATTGGGAACCAAAAGAAACAAGCTTATAACTGAGAATGATAATTTTAGGATTCTACTTGCTTCAGCAGAGCTCAGAGAAAGACAATTATTGGAGAAATTAGGTAGGAAGAGCCTTAGTAGAGAGAAACAAGGTCTGAGAGAGGAAATAGGAGGCGGGAAAGGAACTGAATTGTTACTATCTTTGGAAATTGAGCAGCTGCAGAAACGGTTACAGGAAGAAAAGGAGATAAAGCAAAAATTGGAAGAAAAGGTAGAAATGGTGCTTATGTGGGCTGCCAATCCACCCAGCATTGTACAGATAATGAAAGCATTTGTATCCCCTGGGGAATGGTGAAAAAGACAAAGGGTCAGTGGCTGCTCACTGTTGTCTGCAGGAGATGGAAAGCCAATATCACACCTCTAACTACTGCTCTGCCAGATTTAGCAGAACTGGTAACTCAAATTCAGGGAGCGTTCTATGCATGGATGGCAACCCTAGATGCAAAAGATATGTTATTTATGATTCTACTCTGGGAACACATCAAAGCAAACTTTGTGCTCACCTGAAGGCAGTTCAATGTACCTTCCCACAGGGGTATAAACATTTACCCATGACTGAACAATCTGTGATTTCCAAAATTGTACAGACAGTCTCACTCCCTCTAGATGTGAAATTATGTGATATTCAATTAGGAGAAGACTCCCCTGAAAAAGTAGGGGAAGCAACAACATGAAGTAGAAGTTGAGATTCCACCAGAGAAATGCCAAGGCCAACGTAAAGGACTATATCTGCTACATCTGCAGATGACCCAGAAAGCAAGGAGGTCTCCCTTTCCTAAATTTTTACCTAATACTTTCTCATATGAGAAACCAAGGAAGCAGTAAACCAAGCAGTTTTTGGATTTCTTTAATCTGCAGCAGCTCAGCAGCTGCTACACAAACAGGGCAAGTAGAAACCTGGGAGAGGCAGGCAGGTAGGCAGGTGTAACAGGAGAAGGTTGGTCTTTGGTATAGACCCAAATCCTTGGGTGTTCCTACATTATTGTTACACTGGATGACTCTTCTACGACAAATATGACATATAAGTGAGGTAGAGGAGGGGGGAGGATCTGATCCAAAGCTTACTGAAGTTATTGAAAAGACTCTCATTGACTTTTTCAGGTTTCACGTCCAGCTTTGAATGAACCAGGGTTTATGCAGTTCACATAGTTTAGGCAGAACAGCAATTAAAGAAAAATCTGTTCCCTTTCAAATAATTAATCTAAACAGTTTGCACAATACCTGCCACAGCTGGACTGAGTTGGAAAGCAATGAGTGTGGGGGCTTTTTTTACTGTAACAATGTGTGTTACTCTGATTGGCAAATAAAATATCAACTCTGTGGCCATTCAGGCACTGTCAGAGGTGCTTGGCTCAACCATGTTGTGGCTGTGGTGCAGCCCAGCACCATTTTCTCTTATCTCTTACACAGTTTCACCACAGCAAGGAAGATTGCCACAAAAGTGAGTTAGACCTGGTTGAAGCTAGTGCTGAGCACCCGGGGGACATAATTATACTCCTACCTCTGTGGTTCTGAAGCCATTCTGCCTCTGTGTCGTGGCTCCCATGCTGTGGACCATGGGGTTGGCACACTGAGAACCACAGTTACTCCTCTTCTCAGTGTTCAGCGTTCCAGATGGGGCTGATGCTGTAGTTACACCAGTCTGAGCCAATTTCCCATCCTCCAGAAGACCTAGTAGGGACACATGAAATTGGGAAATTAATACCGAGGAGAAATTTGCAACTGGCTCTGGCTTTCCCTTTATTTTATCACGTGTTTGTGAGACTGTGATGCCAGGTGTGGTGCAGTACTACAGTCCACCTCTTTGTGTCACCCTTGTCCCCACACTTGACATTATTTGCCCTTTTCCCTATGGTCCACTGCTCTGTGAAACACTGGCTCAGAAAACACGGAAAAACGATCAATGAGTGCAGCACATCAGCAGATTTTTGTCATCTGCAGACCTCCATTGGCTTCTCTACACACACAGCTCCTTGCATGACCGACAGTTTAACTTAGGACCTGGAGAAGCTCCCCTTAAATCTGTTGCAGTTCTGAGAAATGAAGGGGTTAGGTGGAAATGAAGGGGTTAGGTGTGAGGATGACAAATCAGACTAATATGGGTGGGAAGGTTGCTCTATTCATGGCCTTGGACATTTTTTTCATCAGAAGTTGAGAAAAGAAATTCAGCAAAAATACATTTCTTACTGTTTTGACTATCAGCAATCAAATAAATGACTGATTTGCTTTCTGCTCTAGCTGTGTGGATATGCATGCATTGCACAACATGATATTGGACAGCATAAATGAATTTTCTCATCTTATTACATTGACAAAAATCAGTTGTCATTTATGGTGAGTACAGAGCACTAAACATCTGGTTGCAACACTGGGTCTAAAATACAAATACAAAGAGCAAGGGGGATGCATGACTGGAGCTCTCAATTTAGCTTTTGTCAAAGCTCATTTATTAAAAGCTTTATGTTAAAAGAGAAAAAAAAAAGGCAAATTTACTAACTGACAATGCAGGTGTCAAACCTGAAAGAATTAAGGGGTCACAGACAATAATGAGAAAAAATTATCTGGAAAACCAATGACAAATCATTGCTATTTGAAGTGACATTGTATCATCAAAATCTTCTTCCACGAATCAGGTGGGAATTCAAACACAGTGTTAAGGGTATTAAAAGGGAAGCAATGTCCTGAATTCTTTCTCAGAAATCTGTAAGAAAAGCTGCATTGTCAGTAGAAAGCAACATCAGTAGCAGCTAGCAAAGGCAATGACTAAAATCAATAAAGCTTCAACCAAATATTCAAAACCTTGATATTGAAAATATTTAAAGTTTTGTAAATTAAATCATCTTTAAGGTCCCTTCTGATCCAAGCCATTCTATGATTCTGAGTTAAGAAGTCTAAATACAAACTAGTCACTGCATTTCCCTGAGCAGTCAGAAGATGGAGTCAGAGTTTTCCAAAGACAATTTAACTTGCAGTGGTGGTAACTAATAATGCTAAGTCATCTAGTTTTTGATAGAAAAAATTGAGCTGAAACTTGACAATACTACATTATAGTTTATTTTAAAACATATTTCAGCGTTTGGAAACTTTTCTGCTAGGTATAAAATCTAATTTCATTCTCCCATCTAAGTTTAGATGCAACTTCCATAAAAGAGTAAACCTCACCTTTCCTGCATCTCCCAAAAGTCCACACCTACTTCTGTTTTAGGTCTTCTCTCTTCCTATCACTCCACAGTGCCAAATGAGAAACAAAAAAATGAGTTGGTGCAGAGCAGAAAGTGATACAGACTGGTATTGTAGACAAAACCAGTAATCAGGGAGAGAGATGGAAAGGCAATTAGCCATGTGTGAGTCAGAGCTCTAAGCCAGGAGTCCACTGCTTCTCCTTGCAGAGGAGCTGTGAGAACAAGCTTGAGCACAGCTTCCAACAGGCAAACTGCACTAGGCATTACATACTAATTCCATTAATTGAATCTTTGACATTTCAAACATATATGAATTACGAGTTTTATCCTTCTGTGGAGTCATCCTAGAATTTACTTTCCACTGTGTGTCTCTTTGGCCATCTGGCCTCTGACTAAATTGTCTGGTGAAACAGCTGTCGGCTGAAAAGCCATTTTGTTATTAAGCACAATTGTTCATTTATCAGACTGTGTTGCATCTTTTGGTCTCACACAGAACAATTTTTCTTGCATGAATCCATTTCGGGGGGCTGCTAGAAAATCTTGATCCTGAAAATGGTATATCTGGTTAATTTTTTGTCTCTTTTAGTATGCGGCCTGAGCATCCTTGCTGCATTCTGCATTGCAGGGGTGAGACCTTTTTTTGCAATACTTGTCAGAAATAAACCAGGTATCAGTATCTGATCCTTCCACTATCACTACTGTATTTTTATATGGATGACCTAGTGGTCACCAATACTAGGTAAAAAGCTTTTTTATTTTATCTTGAAATATGTTTGCTATTCTGAAGTTAAGAAACTATTTTAAATTTCTTTTCATTGGCAAAGAGATGCTTTAGAGACTGGGGAAGAGTTTAAAGATTTCAGTGACTTGTTCTTTATGTATGAGCACTGAGCAGAAATTACAATGAGAATGCATGAGCAGTGGAGTTAAGAGCACAAGGTTTGCTCTTATAGAGCACCTTCTTATAGACTAGATACATAACACAAAATGTCGATTGCAAACTAGAGATGATGTTAAGAAAGGATTAGGAACACATGGTTGTTCTTAAAACAGCAAATACTTTTGCATTGTTATTTAGGGTTTGCCACAGTACACAAAAATGGAAGAGTTAACTCTCTTCTTTTGTACTATCTGGAATTTACAAGCCAGCAGGATGGCAATACTAAGGGTCTTGCCTTAGTGTCATCTAAAACAAGAAAATTGTTGAGATATTTATGCCATCCTCACAGCATGGGTTCGATGAACTCTTTGGTCTTTCACTGCAGAACTTCAGTTTACACCAGTTGTTAAATCACCGTAGAGATTTAAACGAACGGGTTCAGTAATGTTCTCATTGTCATGTTCTTTGCCACAACACCCTCCTGCCAAAAGTCTGTGGGCCTCTTGAGGCCAGGGAAAACCGCAGATTCCATCTCAATGCTCATCAAGTATTTTATTTCCAAACGAACTGGCAAGGCTAGAATATTCTTACGGATCCATTCCCAAAACCGGGGCTTCTGGGTGATTATTAAATATCCATCAATGTGATGGCAAACCTTCCATCAGGAATGGCTACTCAGTGTTTGGGGAACTGTTCCCTCTACGGAGAAGAATGGATGACAAGCGGCAGGTATTTCATTGCATGTAATCAGATTTATTTATAACAAGCGTACATGAGTTCTCTCTCAATGGTTGCAGGGAGAACACCCCTGCAGCAGCCCCGTTGCTCACAAGTCCATCTTTGCAGCACAAAATGTGTTTAAAAGAACTTGTCCTCCCATGGCAATGCTCGCTGCCAGCTTCCTCTATGCTAACTTGTTGGGCTGCGCAGGCGCGCCAAGTCCCACCTTTCTTACCAGGCCAATAGAATCCTTTAGGCTGCAGTTTGACAAACTTTTTTCGAGAAGCATCAGGGGGAAAATGGGTTATTTTAAAACTGAAATCAATCCCTAGTTATTCTTCTCTGAATGACGCAAGCAGTCAGACTGGCACAACTTGGGAGGTAGCACAGGAATCGAAACAAGCAGCTCTGCAATAAAACAAAACAAACCTGATCCCCACTCATCCAGCCACACTCGTTCTTCTCACTGAGCTGCCTTGCTGAGCTGTCTAAATCTTCAGAGGTATATTCACATTGCTTCCAGCTACACCTACATCGGGGACAGGTATTTGTTTAGTCCATTTAGCCTGGATTCACCAAAGCTTCCCATTGTGTTGCAGCAAAAACAGTGTCCCAGAGTTGATGATCCAGATCAGGATGTGATACAACTGATTCATACAAAGGAGTTTTTTTCTAAAATATCTTTCACTAAATCCCAAATCTTCCTTTGTGAAGCCTAGCCATGACCTTTCACTAAAACGTCTGATGATTTACACCAAATGATGGCAGTTCAAATAGGTTTTGTTTTGTGTATTTTCACATGCACAATTTGAATAGATTTGAAAAACCAAATTTGCCCAAGTTTGGGTTTGGGGTTTTTTTTTTTACCCGACTAAAACACTGGCATTTTGTTCAAGCTTCCCAAAATATGAAAGTTTGGGAAAATTTGGATATGCACAATAATCAACTCCAGCCATTACCTTTGACAAACCAAAACTAAAAATCCATCCCTCTGGATATCTGGGTATGTTTTAGCTGTTTCACAGTTCACAAGAAGGACATATAAGAACAGTTTTACTATTATGTCAAAATGTAATGAACATAAAGCCACCTAAAATCAGAGGCATCTCAATACAAATAGGAAGATCAGAAAGTTGGGATGATTTTGTCTGAAATATGTATTCTATGTGGCGAACAACAGGCATATTAAAGGTAATATAAACTCCTAGAAGACGATAAAGAGAACAGAATATGTTGATTGTCACTACTAACACAAAAACAAAGGCATTGGGATTTTTATATAGCTCATATAAACACTATAAATAAAATTAACTCTCCAAGAACTGCTGCTACTCATAATTAATAGTTTATCCTAACATTGACTATTCAGGCTGCCAGTGGGACACCAAGTTTTTCCAGTCTTTCCAGATTAACCTCTTACTCTCTCTGCTGTAAATGTGATGAAAAATTCAGTGTGTCCAAGCAAACACCAAGATTAGTTTTTAGAAGGAAGGCTTGAACACATCAATGCTTCTCCTATCTTAAGTCTCTAAAATTGTCTTTATTAAATATTCATAGATATTCATAGATAAATATTCATAGATATCATAATGATTCTTTTTATTTCACACTATTAAGTCATGTATTAATGCCAGGTAGAACATGGCCATTTTGTAAAGAACAGAAGATTTTTTCATAACAGAATTGTAGGCTGTAAACTCTTCTGTATTGTGCAAAGGCACCTTTCAGTTCTTTAATGCCACTTGGAAATCTGATGCAAATTCACCAATGGATTCAGAGGATTCTGTCCATAATGCCCGTTTTTCTCTGATGACTGTAGTGTATTTATATCATAACTTCTCTCTCAATATCTCCCTCTCTGCCTCAACTGTCCTTCTGCCAGGCTGCAC